GGCCGCCCCCGGGCCGGCCGCCAGCCCGCCACGCTCCACACGACGAAGCAGTTTCCCGGCAGCCCCAGCAGCGCTGCCAGCAGCAGGAACGCCGAGCCTGTGGCCCGTGAGGCCTTGGAGCTCAGCAGCGTCTCATTTCCTGGTGGGCTGAAGCAGGCCAACATCCTTCTGCGCCTGCAGGGGCATTCGGGGATGGGGCAAAAATTCGCAGTCTCTCTGATGCCAGGGAAGAAGGGACTGTGCCTCCCGTCCCACTTCCCTGCAGCCTGCCTCTCTTCTGCCTGCCGGGAAGGACCCCCCACACAAACACTCCGGACAACCCCAACAGCTACTCCTGGCTCTTCCCCAGAGCCCAATGGTACCTAGGCTCCCAGTTCTCACCCAGGCTGTCACTGTCTCTACCTCCACCCGTCTAGCCTGGTCCCCTATTTCTTTATCCAGCCCCATTTCTTGTCCCTCAGGGCCAAGGTGGGTGTTGGGGAGTAAAGGGGCATGGGCACATCTACTCACCCAGCTGGGAGAGAGCAGGCCTGGGGAGGCCTGCGAGGGACCTGGGAGCTGAGAGGTGGAGCAGCAGTGGGAGAGATGCCTACTCCAGTTCTGTGCCTGTCACATTTGCAGCGGATGAGGCAAGAATGGGGAGGGACAAGATGGGGCTTATCCTGGGCCTGCACTGGGGCCCCTCCCTCACTCTATTCCCATCACTAACAAGTTGTCCAGGCATGTGAGAACCCGCCTCCCCAGGAAACAGGATAAGCTGAGGGTGCAGATAAGGTTAGCATGGAAGAGAGTAGGGGTATCTGCTGAATCCTGACTGTGGTAGTCCTTCTGCTCTATCCCTCCTCCACCTCTGCGCCCACCCTCCCTGCACTTAGGTCTGCTCCCCCCACACACACTCAGCAGACAAGGTGGCCTGAATTCATGTTCACCAGCAGCTCTTTGTCTTTTCAGAGCTTCCTAGTCCTGCTGAGACCAGTTTGCCTCAGCTCCTAACCTGCCCTCCCCTCTTGCTTTGGCCTCTGCCTCAGTCTCTTCACCCTCAAAGCTCTCACCGGGCTGTCAATGACGGCTTTTCAGCCAAAGGCATGGTGCTAGATTCCGATGGGCACAGGGATGCCTGGAGGTGTAAGGGGCACCTCACCTGGTTGGGAAGCCATACATCACAAAGAGACCACTACCTGCTGCAGAAAGATACAAGAAGAAAGGAAAGGGTAGAGACATACCAAGAAGAAGCCCTCTTCTTGGAGAGGTCAGGCGAAACTTGGAAATGGCGGTATTTGAAGGGGACTTGGCAGATCAATAGAGCTGAGGGAAGGGAAAAGAAAGGCCTTTGCCTGGTCAACAGCCAGAGCCAGGGGTATCTTGGGAACCAAGACACCAGGAGCACTGTCTTAGTCTGAGTTCCTCCAAAGCAGAGCCGGAGTTACGGGCATAGGAACAGGCAATTCTGCATTTGGGAGGTCAGCTCAGGAAGTTGGAGTGGGAACAGAGTAAGATAAGAAAGGAAAACTGGGCCAGTCAGTGGTATGGTGGTTAGGCCAGCTGGATCCCACATGGCTGACTGCGTGGTTCAAGTTCCAGACCCAGTGGCTTGTAAAACACACCTGGCGTGTGTGTGCATGCCCAAAATCCCAAAAGGAGAAATGGAGGAGAGGGGATTGCAGCATGGCCATCCCCCATGGGGATGCTTTTTCACTTTTCCTCTTTCTCTTTCTAGGGAACACACATGCCTTTTGGCAAATTTTAAAAAGAGAGAGAGAAACCAGGATGTGTTCCTGAGTCCCTTCAGTAGGCACTGGGCACCTTAGAGAATGTACAGAATGCCTGGCACAGAAGACTGGGCATTCCCCCTTGTTTGAGGGCTGCTCCAGTTGCATGGGCACCCTTATACCTGCAGCTTGTTCTTGTCGAGGGGCCGAGTGAGCTGCCACAGCCTCCAACAAGGCTTGTTCCATCTTGGCCGAACCCTTGGCTAGAGCTGCTCCAAAAGTAGGGAGTTCCCACAAGGGAGTGCTCCAAACCATCCAAGATGGGGCTGGTTGGGACTCCAACCAAAAGGAGACTGCATGCCAGGGAGGTCAGTCTGAAGCATTATGAGGGGGGCTTACTTATAGAGTGGGCTGCAGTGTCGTAACAGACAGTGAGAGAAAGACACCCTATGTAGGTGTGTCCACTACACAAGGTCAGGGTATGGAGTTCAACTGACATTTAAGGAGTCTGGCTCAGGGCCAGGGCATGTTTCGCTCAGTGTTTTGGGCAACCACCTTCATACCTTTATCACTGCCTGGGAATGTTTGAAGCGCCAGCGTGGGCTCCAGCCTGCAGGAGGGTTGCTACTAGCCAGGTCATACACACAGTGAGGGGCCAAGGCACTCTTTCTCAGGCAGGACACGGAATATGAGAGGAACTCAGGGACTTCATGACGATCCCAAAGAAAGGGAGAGATAGAGGAGAGACTGCATGACCATGCCCCATTGGGTGAGGTAGGTGCTTTCTCACTTTCTTTCTGTCACTCTCCTGTTGAGTGCACACACCCACTGGCAAAATTATGGGGGGGAAAAAAAGGCTAAAGTTGATGCCATCAGCAAGCACTCTGTACTGCATTCACCCTTCATAGCCATCCCTGGGCAAAAGGAGAAAGGTGAAAGAGTAGCTGAAGCAGGCAGTTCTGGAGAATAAAGACAGAGAAAAGGACCAGCAGATGGCGTAATGGTTACATCACTGGATGTAGCCACTCCCACATAGTCAACCACAGCTCCGTCCTAGACCTTGTGGCTTGAAACTCATGCTGGATGTGTGTGCATGCGTGCTCCAAATCCCAAGAGGGAAATGGAGGAGAAGGGATTGTGGCATGGCCACCCCCCCTGGGGGGGTGGTTTCTCACTTTCTGTCTGTCTCCCCAGTGAGCACACTGCCCTATAGCAGAGAAATGTTAATCTAGTCTTTTCCTCAACCAAGAAGGAAGTCACAGGTAAGCAGGAAACCAAGGGCAGGCCCCTGTAAACCATGGATCCCCAGATCAGAAGCCTCCTTTCCTTACCCAACACCTCATCTTCAGTGTCTCACCACCCCTTTTCTCCCAGTCCTGCCTTGCCTCCCAGCTGAGTCCATCCCCACCCACATCCCAGCCCTGCCTCTTTTCCTAATGGTGCAATTTATGACTTTTCCAGTAGGTGGCAGCACATACTGTCCCTAGAAATATCCTTCGAAGAAATAAAAACCACCAAGGAACACATTACACCCTTTTACATAGGTCCTGTTTACCTTCACAACACATGTCCTCCCCAGACATTCACATTCACACACACACACGCACACACACACAGCTTCCATGGATTTTACTGGGCGAGCCTTCCTCCCAGACCCCATCTAGGCCCCTCCCCTCTCTGGACTTTGTCCTTACTGGCCAGGCTGGGGGCCAGAGTCTGCGCCTGACTCATCCTCCACCTCACCAGTGCTGAATTGCGGCATTTTTAACTGAAAACACCACTTCAGAGTTCAGCACGGGAGAAAAATCATATCATCCAGCCCAGAGTCACTGGAGCGGTGACTCTCCGACTCCTTCCACCATGGAGTACCTCTCAGCCCTGAACCCCAGCGGCCTGCTCAGGTGATCTCTACCCCCTTTACACCCTCCAGTATAGGGATACGGGGTTACAGGCAGGGTGACAAAACCCCACTAGGCCCCTAGGAGACGCATTCACCCCTGCCCCCCCACTCCAGTCTCCCTTGGCTACTCTAACCTGCAAATCTAGATTCCTTTCTCCCTAACCCTCCGGCTACTCCACCCCCACCAACCTTACCGCACTCACCAAGCCCCTCCTGGCCCCTTGTTGACTTCTCTTCCCAACTACTAGGTCAGTATCCAACATGAGTTCCGACCTTAGCCGTAAGGTCTGGACCTCAGCTCCACCTCCCCAGCGACCTTTTCGTGTCTGCGATCACAAGCGGACCATCCGGAAAGGTCTGACAGCTGCCACCCGCCAGGAGCTGCTAGACAAGGTAAGTGAGCCAAGTTCCTGGACTCCTACAACAGGGGCAGCCAAAGGGCACAAAAACAGTGACAACGTGGGATGATGGGGCAGAAAGGGCTGAGGTCACACATCTGCCCCTCCATCTGAGAGTTAAGAGCACGGGGGCAAGCCCAATGCTGCTGCACTTGGGCCAATTCATTTATTTCCAAGTAGAAGGGTTTTCTTTGGGAGTAGGGGAAGCAGCAGGTAGGGAGGGTGGAAGGATGGAATTCAGAAGTCGATATGGAATGGAGGTTTGTGTCACAAATCAAGTTTGAATCCTGACTCTGTCACTTCTAGCTGTCAAACCTTGAGAAGTTATTCAACCTAGGAAGATCTCAGCTTCTTCATATATAAAAAGGGGATATACCAACCCACAGGGTTTTTGAGAGAGATAACATGTGGAAAGTGCTCAAAGATACCTGGCACCTAGTGAGGGCTGAAAAAGGTTAATCGGTGAGATGGAAAAGTTTTGGAGAACTGTGGGTCACATATTGTTAGGATATTGTAGGTAAGAATGAGGATGGACTTCAAGAGAACCTGGCTAGCCTTTCAATTCCAACCAGTATGAGTGGCTTGGAGGGGAGCAGGGGGATATGACATGGTAGGAGCAAATAAAAGAAAAAGTCAGCCACTAATGAGGTTCCCCAGCAACTACTGAGGGTTCCCCAGCAACTAAAGGAACAGAGCTGCAGCCTCCAGAAGGAATAGCAAAGTGCCAGGAAGTAGAATTGGTACGTCAGCTAATGTCTGGGGTCAACCATGGATGTTGGGTAGCTAGAGGGGAGGGCATGGGATGAGATCTGTCCCTCCCTCCTGCTTCCTGCCACTGGGCAGGCAGAGAAGACCCTGCTGCTGAGTGAAGACCTTACACTGGTGCTGGAGGAGGATGGGACTACCGTGGACAGTGAGGACTTCTTCCAGCTGCTGGAAGATGACACATGCTTGATGGTGCTAGAGTCTGGGCAGAGCTGGAGCCCCACAAGGGTAAGAGGTTCACCCTGGGGCTGCGTAGGCCACTGATGTGTTATAGCTCTGAGCTGTTCTAGCCTAACCTTGGTCTTGAGGCAGAGGTGCTGGGAGTGTTGTGGAGTTGTCAATGACATCACATCCAGGTGCCAGCAGATCTAACCTAGTGCTGATGGGAATTAGTGGCGAGTGACAGAGTGTGAGAGTCCTTGCACTGACGAGGATGCTCTACAGAGTGGAGTGCTATCATATGGCCTGGGCCGAGAGAAGCCTAAGCACAGCAAGGACATCGCCCGCATCACCTTCGATGTATACAAGCAAAACCCTCGGGACCTCTTTGGCAGCCTGAACGTCAAAGCCACATTCTACGGGCTCTATTCCATGAGTTGTGACTTTCAAGGACTTGGCCCCAAAAAAGTACTCAGGTCAGAGATCGATTTACAGTTCTTCCCCATCCCCTACAGTAAGACAATCCCCATAATTCCTCCTGCTGCACACACCTACCCGTTAGCTCCACTCTGTGGAAAGTCCCCAGGCCCCAGCTCCACATCCTCCTTCCAGGTCCCTTTAGTTACCCATTTCCTTGTCTCTGCCCTTCAGGGAGTTCCTGCGTTGGACCTCCAAGCTGCTGCAAGGCCTGGGCCACATACTGCTGGGAATCTCCTCCACCCTCCGCCATGTACTGGAGGGTGCTGAGCAGTGGCAGCATCGCCAGGGTCGCCTCCATGCCTACTGAGAAGGAGCTCTGAGTTTCTGCCCTGAACACATTCCAAGAGACACACTATGAGGACTGTGACAGCTTCAGATTTGGGGACCTGCAGACAAGGCAGGCTAGACAACTTACCCGATTTTCTTTACTCTCATCTGACCCATCACAACAGACCTAAGCCTTACAGCATCGAGCCTTACGCCCCCTGCCTATACCCTTTTCCTGAAGGATGCTGTTCTATTCCCACATTCCAGCCTCCCATTTCCCCTGAAAGGCCACAAGTCTGTCCCCAGGCCTTTGGATCTCACGTGACCCTGCTACATGTAGATATCCTTTACTGATCCTCCTGCCCTCAGGGAAGCTCCCCAGCACGCTGATGACACCCCCTCTGACTTTACCTTGAGATCTCTGCTTTTCCATATCCTCCCCTCAAAAAAACCCCCCACGAACATTTCCAATAAAAATATAAAAAAGTTTACCAATAAGATTGTTGACCCCAATTAAAGAAGGAAAGAGATGGGATAGATACACCCTTTCACCCTCCCCATAACACCCCGTCCCAGACCCAAAGGCCTCAGTCTTCAAGTATTGAGTTCAGTGCCCGCTTCCGCTTGGCCACCACACCCTGCTGCTGTTCCCAAGCCTCTCGCCGCTTCAGGAAGGTTGTCAGGGCTATGTTTCGAGCCACATGGTGGCCAAAAGGGTCTCTTATCAGCTCCTGGTTCCGCTCCCCTGCAAAAGGAACCACTCATGTTTAGTGCCATCCACATTCCAAGACAGACTTTAGTTGGGGTGAAGGCCCCTCCTTTTCCCATACCCTGGGCCTGCCCCTGGGATAGACAGTGCACACCTTAATCTCCAATGAAGAGAAGCCAGGAGGAGGGGAGGAGCAGAGGACTGTATACTCAGACAGCAAGGGAAGGGGAGAGCAAACTGCTATGAACCAGGATCAAGACCACCCTTTGAAACTGAACTCTCTGCTGAATTTAAGTCCATTCCCCAGTCCCCTAGCTATCTGGAATAAGAGAAAGAAAAATCTGGAAACATCAAAGAGAAGTGATGGGACTCACCCAGTTCAGCAGCAATTTCCTTCCGGGCCCCCAAGGCTGCTCCATTCCAGATAGCGTCTAGCACACGGCTGCCATGGCGACTACAGGCCAGAGCCACATAATGCCCCTGCATTGAGACAAAGAGGTGAGTCCCTCTAGGCAAGTCCACAGAAATGTGTTTGGAAGGAGCGGTAAAGGGAATGGAGGTTCTGGAGAATTTAGAGGCCAAGTTCAAATTTAGAGTCCAAGTTCAAACAGTCGAGGAACTGCATATCCTCTTTGACTCTCAAGGTACAGGCTTGGAGAGCTCATAGTCTCTAAATGAATGATGGTGCAGAATCAGGGCAGAGGTCAGAAGTCTAACCTTTAAACTCTGCAGCACGCGGCGGCGCTGCTTGCGTGTCACAGAGGGACTGGTGAGGATGGCATCGAGCACATGGGAGCCAGCAGGGCTCTGGGCCAGAGCCACAAGCTGAGGTCCTGTCAACGCAGCCAGACTTCGAAGTACGAGACTGGGGGCAGAGAAGTGCAGTAGATGCTGGAGCAGGAGAGACCCAAGGACTGTTACTTCCTCCAGAGCCCTCGCTGCGGCCATTTCCTCCTGGGGGCAGAGACGGAAAGTTAGGAGGTAGTCACCAAACCAGGCAGATGAACCCGTCCCTGGGATGCTCCACTTCCACTGGAGGAAGTCGGAGGTCTCACCCCTCTACCTCAGGGTGAGGAGGTAACGCAGCCCCAGGAGGCCTGGACCCAATTAGCCACTGGCTCAGCCCCGCCCTTCCTCACCTGGTGCTCCGCAGGAACCGTCCCCTCCTCCTCCATCAGGCCATAGTACACTTCATAAGCCATCAAAGTAGCAAAGAGAGGCACGCAAGCCACTTGCCGGGATGAGGGCTCTGCGCAGTGGAATGCCTAGAGGGGAGGACAAAACTCAATGGATCCAAGAACTGCCCCATCCCTACCCTTGACTTTCCGGACAGGGAAAGTGCTCAGGAAAGGGGAGAAGGTCTAACTCCACAAAAAGGCAGCCTCCATGAAGGCAGACTCTTATCTCCTGCTACATCTGCAGCTTCCACACACAGGACAAGGGGTAAGCAAACACTGTCCTTAAGTAAACTGTTCTCGTAGCTCTGGGAGACAGTTTTCCTCCCGGGAGAGTCAGGTGGCTTTTGGCCTCATTCTCCCCTGTATCTGTAGACTTCCGGGGCAGTAGATCCCTTGGGTCCAGAGGCACAGCGACTGGAGATTAGATAAGTCCTAACAGGGAGAACTTGGACTGAAGGCACAAATAGTTGCAAGTAACACCCACTTACCTCCAACAACAGCTGCAGGACCTGGGCTTGGTGGGCCCCAACTCTGCGACAGGCCCCCACCAGGGCAACAACTACCCCTGGGTGGCCCTGAGCCAGTACAGCTTCCAGGGTAGGGCTCAGCTCCTCAAACACGGGGGACAGCTGAGGGAAAACATGGGGTAAAGAATCTGTGACATTCTGGCAATGGTGGGCTAAGTTTCTGAGAAATCTTACTGCTGAGAATTAAAAGTGCTAGATAAAACATAAAAACACAGCCGATGTCAGGATCTTGATTTGTCTGGATAAGGCCAGAACAATGCAGCAGTCTTAGAGCCACTTCACATAGGCAGGGGACTTTAAATGGCCCATCCCTATGTGTAAAGGAGGACTAGGGGTAAGGGAGACTGGAATAAAACCTGCCCTTCCACTCAAACTCCCAACCCAGGAGACCACAGGGAAGCCCACCTTGGTGCTAAGCAGCAAAGGAGAGCAGCTGTGGCAACAGCTCCAGCGTCCCTGTGCATTTGTAGCCAAGTACCCAGAGTCTGGGCGGGCCACGGAACCTCGAGCTGCAAACTTGGATTAAGCCTGTTGCACCTGAGGCAAGTAACACCCACTTACCTCCAACAACAGCTGCAGGACCTGGGCTTGGTGGGCCCCAACTCTGCGACAGGCCCCCACCAGGGCAACAACTACCCCTGGGTGGCCCTGAGCCAGTACAGCTTCCAGGGTAGGGCTCAGCTCCTCAAACACGGGGGACAGCTGAGGGAAAACATGGGGTAAAGAATCTGTGACATTCTGGCAATGGTGGGCTAAGTTTCTGAGAAATCTTACTGCTGAGAATTAAAAGTGCTAGATAAAACATAAAAACACAGCCGATGTCAGGATCTTGATTTGTCTGGATAAGGCCAGAACAATGCAGCAGTCTTAGAGCCACTTCACATAGGCAGGGGACTTTAAATGGCCCATCCCTATGTGTAAAGGAGGACTAGGGGTAAGGGAGACTGGAATAAAACCTGCCCTTCCACTCAAACTCCCAACCCAGGAGACCACAGGGAAGCCCACCTTGGTGCTAAGCAGCAAAGGAGAGCAGCTGTGGCAACAGCTCCAGCGTCCCTGTGCATTTGTAGCCAAGTACCCAGAGTCTGGGCGGGCCACGGAACCTCGAGCTGCAAACTTGGATTAAGCCTGTTGCACCTGAGAGAAGTCAAAACAAGTCCTATCTGGAAGGAAGGCACCTGCACCTGAAGTTCTGAAAAATCCCCACGGAGTAACTTTCCAAGGGCTATGGCCAGCACACTAGCAGAATACAGAGAGGCGAGCACACAAATAGTAAAGTAAGGCCCGAGGAACAAGAGCTAGCAGGAACAGACTTGGCCCAGGTTTCCAACTCACCAGCTCAGGGGTAGTGACTGCATCCAGCAAACGCTGCAGAGGGAAGTTGGCGATGGGATGTGCAGCCAGGGACTGCAGCTGCCCCTGAAAGTGATCCTCAAAAAGGCTCTGGAGCCTCAGGGGCTCCAACACTAACATCACCTGCTCCAGCAGCCTGGAACTCGTCTGATCCCGCAGGAAGAGTAGTAGGGGGCTGGGGACAAGGAGAAAGGGATCAGGCAGTCTTAATTCTGCCTCCTCCGAAAACAGTTGTACCACGTCACCTCCCAGCCCCACAAACCTTAGCCAGCCCTGAGGTCCTTAGTCATACCTGCCATCTGCTGAGGAACCGCGAGTACTCAGGTAGCCAATCACATCACTGCAGAGATGGGCACAGACCTGGGGTAGTCTGCGGTGTAAGACCTGTAAGGCCACTTGAAGGCAGAAGCTAGAGATCTTATCAGTGATAAAGACTGTAGGGAGAGAGAAGAAATAATAAAAACAGCTTGTTCCAAATCCAGATGGCTTTCCTTCCAGATAGGACTTGTTTTGACTTCTCTCAGGTGCAACAGGCTTAATCCAAGTTTAGAGCTCGAGGTTCCGTGACCCACCCAGACTCTGGGTACTTGGCTACAAATGCACAGGGACGCTGGAGCTATTGCCACAGCTGCTCTTCTCCATTGTTGCTCAGCTTCCCGGTGGTCTCATGGGTTGGGAGTTAGAGTGGAAGGGCAGCTTTAATTCCAGTCCTCCCTTACACATAGGGATGGGCCATTTAAAGTCCTTAAGCAATAACAAGCCATGGCAGCACAGCAGTACCCCAAGGTTTTTTGATGCTAAGGACACATGTGAAGGTCCTGGCTTTGCGTCCCAAGGTCCCTTTGTTCATGCCAAGCATGCACACATGCCTATGATCCTGACTGCTGAGGCCTGGAGTGGATCACCGGGTAAAGACTCTGCTAGGGGTACTCTTTCCCTCTCTCATGGAAGAAATAATTAAACAAAAACAAACCTTAAGCAACAAGGTACAAGGTATGGGAGGACTACAAACACAAACACTACATTGGGCTTTGCAACATCTGACCAGACCAGGCTTGAAGAGAAGAGGCATAACCTAACCTAGGGGCCTTGATTGGTAGTCATCACCTCCAGAAAAGTAGATCCTGGACTCTCCTCCTACTTCCTCTTACCAGCAATGTCCTTCAGAAAGCAGGAACTCAGGTCCTGAAGGCGATTCAAGAAGGTTTCAGGGACTTCAAAATCAATTGGCTTACACTCTCGAGCTGGGGCCCTTTGCCCTTCTAAAGGAAGATTGAGAAGACGTGCAATGTCAAGATAATGAACTGCCATCCCAGGAGGGAGAATTCTACAGCTTAGAGATGCAGAACAGATCTGATACAACTGAATGGCTCTTCTGGGTGACTGAACTAAGATTATATTTTGCTTAATTTTCTTTTTTTTTTTTTTGGAAAGGTTTTTGCTATAGAGTGTGTGCGCTTGCCAGAAAGACAGAGACAGAGAGCGAGAAATCACCCCCCAGGGGGGATGGTCACGCCGCAATCCCTTCTCCTCCCTTCTCCTCTCAGGATCTTGGGCATGCATGCACACACGCCCGGCGTGAGTTTAAGCCACTGGGTCCAGGACTCAAACTGCAGTTGACTACATGGGGGTCCAGTGATATAGCCATTAAACTAACTGCTGGTCCCTCTGTTTAATTTTCTTAAGAAATCTCACCCAGCCCTGCCACAGTCGATAGGAGACAGTTCAAATTCATAAGTATCCAAGGTGTTCTAAAATCTGACCTCATTTAAACTAACCTTATTTTCCACAGTTTTTCAAAATGTGGATCACAGTGCCAGCCAGTGTCATGATTAAGGCAGCTGGATCCCACATGAATGATTGCCTGGTTTGAGTCACAGACGTGGGTCTGGTGGATTGAAAACATGCCAGGCATGTGTGTACTGAGTGCCCAAATTCCTTCAAGGAGGAAGAAATAGAAGGGATTGTGGCGTGAACATTCCCCATGGGAGGGAGTGCTTTCTCATTTCCCCTCTATTTCTCTCTCTCTCTCTCCAGTAAGCTCATGTACCCTCTGGGGGTGGGGGGAGGGAAGAAGAAGGTAACAGTCAATGACTTACTTTCTTATGAAATCAAGCCAGTGGTCTCAACCAGAATTCTTTTAATGAAATAATACAGAATAAAATTTAAAAAGGAGGTGTCAGCAGATGGCGTAGTGGTTACACTGCTGTGCTCCCACGTGAGTGACCATGGTTCGAGTCTTGGACTCCGTGGCTTGAAACACACAGGTTGGGTGCATGTGTGCACATGCCCAAGATCCCAGGAGAGAAGGGATAGCAGCATGGCCATCCCCCCAAGAGGTGATGTCTCACTTTCCTTCTCACTGCCTCTGTCTCTCCCTAGGGAACACATGCACCCCAAGGCAAAATCTCTTTAAAAAAAAAAAAAATTGAAAAGTAATGAAAATATAGAGTAGCTTGCGTGTAATAAGGATATTGTTTCCTGAACTTGTGCTTGCATCCATTATATGTCCAAGCACATATCTATGTTGAGTCATGTTAAGAAACCAAATTCTTGGGCCAGCAAGTGGCACAGGGCTTAAAGTGGCTAGATCCCACATTTCTCACTGCACAGTTTGAGTCCTGGACCTGGTAGCTTGACAAACACACCAGGCACATATGCATGCATTCCCAAAAGAGGAGAATGGTGGAGAAGGGACTGTGGTATGGCTATCCCCCTCTTGGGAATGATTTCTTACTTTCCTCTTTTTTTTTTTTTTGTATCTCTCTCTAATGAAAATATAGAGTAGCTGGCGTGTAATAAGGATATTGTTTCCTGAACGTGTGCTTGCATCCATTATATGTCCAAGCACATATCTATGTTGAGTCATGCTAAGAAACCAAATTCCTGGACCAGCAAGTGGTACAGGGCTTAACGTGGCTAGATCCCACATTTCTCACTGCACCGTTTGAGTGCTGG